GGTCAAATTAAAATAAATAAATGAATAAATAAAATTAAATAAATAATAATTTTTTTAAAAATACAATAAATAAAATAAAATATCTATGTATGATATTTTAAATTTAAGACATCATTTATATGTTGATAGATAGTATAATATTCCATTTCTGAACCAATTTTGAATGAATTCCCTATTAACATGAAAGTTTACATGAATAAAACTTTTAAGAACAATTAATAGTTTAGTTTATTGTAAAAATTTAAAAAGGTAATGTTTCAAGACTTCTAATACTTAGACCTTAAAACAAATTTAAATATAATAAACAAATCTATTGAATCATTTCCAACAGCACACAAATATAATCTAGAAGTATCTGTTTTAAGATTTAAAAAAAGAAAGAAAACTTCCTGGAATCCTACATTCTTCATTTATCACCTATAGTTTTCTCTTACCTTTACCATTAAAAATTCTCCAGGGAGATTTCTGTTCTTACCTCACCGTCAGGCTTTCTTGGAAACTACTGAAACTGCTCCTTATCAAGGACATTTGTTCTCATTTTTGTCAACTTTTCAATAAAATCAACAATTTAATGTTCTCTTGTTTCACCTGAAGACTATACTATTTTTGTGTGTTTCTAGAAACTGTAACTATGTCAATTTTCTTCACAGGGAAACCAAGAAGTTATAGATGTTTACCTTACTCTTTCTGGATTAACTTCATGTGAACTGTTGACAATATTCACATCTGGTCGACCTTCAGAAAGTGAATCATCTGTCTCCAACACTTGCATATCCCCACAGTTTGTCCAGGCCCATTTCTCATTTTTGTTCTTCTTTGTGTCCTTTACACTCAGAGTAAAGTTGGTACTTGGAAAGAAATCCATGAAAAAAGCCTTTAGTTTCTAATAATAATACCGAAAGAAACCTCTCTCGCCCCACACCAAAAAAATAAACAATGAACTAGTTTTATTTTAAAAATCAACACTTTTCCATCTTAATTTATTTATTAATTAGAAACAATTCCAATATGTCAACTATGTACAAGGAAAGCGTATAGTCTGGACTTCAAAATGAGGATAAACGGGACAAGTTGACACGTAAGCTAATCAATGAAAAGTTGTACCGAAAACTAAGAAGGATTCCTATTAAATTCATAAAATATCGATGAAGAGCTCTCAAAACAAAAAGTAGGAAAGACTATTCTACTTAGAAAACAAATTGTTAGACAAAATTAGACACAGAGCATATAGGTATTTGCTTAAGAACTTGAACGAAAGGATAAAATGCAGAAAAGCTAGTACTGGAGATGAACCACACACTACAGGGCAATGTTGTTCTAGAATAAGTCATCTGCAACAGCAATGACTGTTAAGACTTGAATGCAATATAGATTAGTGCTATCACTTTCACTGTTATTTACACACATGATACTGTTTAATTTTAACAAAAAATTTTAACATACTGTGAGTGGCATATAACATGAAAGAAGAAACTAGGGAAATATTGAGGGTTAGGGGGACCTTATTTTTAAAATACCCAGCTGTAACTATATACATTTTAAAAATCAGCAGTCTTGTTAATTACAATTTTCTTTAAAAAGAAAATAACTAGAGGGAACCGGCAGTTAGCGTAATGGCTATGTCGCTGGACTCCCACGTAGTCGACCGCGGTTCGTGTCCCGGACCTGGTGGCTTAAAACTCACGCCGGGTGCATGTGCGTGCGTGCCCAAGATCCCGAGAGGAGAATGGAGGAGAAGGGATTGCAGCGTGACCATCCCCCCTGGGGGGTGATTTCTCGCTTTCTGTCTCTATGTCTCTCTCTGTCTGTCTGGCGAGCGCACGCGCCCTACAGTGAAAATCTCTCAAAAAAAAAAAAAAATAAAAGAACTAGAAAAGTTTCGTTTATGTTTAGTTTAATACCTAATTCTAATATAAGTAAAGAATTGTTGGGACCAGTAGTTAGTGTAATGGCTATGTTGCTCAACTCCCATGTAGTTGACTGCAGTTTGAATTCTGGACCCGGTGGCTTAAACTCATGCTGGGCTCGTGTACGTGCGTGCCCAAGAGCCCAAGAGGAGAATGGAGGAGAAGGGATTGCAGCGTGACCATCCCCCCTGGGGGGTGATTTCTCGCTTTGTATCTCTCTGTCTCTCTCTGTCTTTCTGGTGAGTGCACGCACCCGATAGCAAAAACCTCTCAAAAAAATTGTCATTACTTTTTAAAGCAATAAACAGCATACATAAGAACATTATATTTTCCTCTAAGGAACAATTTACTAAAGGTGGCATGTACTAGCCAGAGAGAAAGAAATAGAAAGCGAGAAATAACCTCCCAGGGGTTTGGCCATTGCACAATCTCTTCTCCTCCGTTCCCATCTCTGGATTTTGGACACATGCTCAAGTGTTTGGCATGAATTTAGAGCAGTCGGTCTGGGATTTGAACCATGATTGGTTATGTACGAGTCCAACAACGTAAACATTACACTACCTGCAGATCCTAAGAACAACACTATTATATCCCTACATAAGTTATAAGGGAAGACTAAAATTTCCCACTAAAGACTATTACATTAGGAGTTGAGTTTAAGCCCATAAAATTACCACAAACAAAAGGAAAACTAACAATTATCTACAAAATAAAGGTTATGTAAATAACTCAAGTTAAGACTAAGAATCAAGAAAAAAGAAGAAATGATCCAGACAGAAATCATTACACAATTCTTTTCAACCTATACTTTAAACTGCAAGAACTAAGTCTACAATTTAAGAATACAAAACAGCTATTCATTTCAGACATACTAGAAGGAAGGCAACACTTTTTAAAAATTAGCTATTGGGAGCTGGTGTTTGGAAGCGGAGGTGGGGGAGAACCCCTCAGGGGATGACTACACTGCCATCCCATCTCCTCTATTCTCTGTCTCTTCTCCAGACCATGGGCACCCATGCACACATGCTCAGTGTGTCTCTCTAGCTGTGAGGTCTGGGACTTGAACCACGTACTCAACCCTGTGGGATGAACTCATCCTAACTACTATGCCAACAGGTGGCTAAAGGCAACATCTAAATAAAAGCCATCTGGTCAAAGTCATCGCAAGATTAGGAATGGAATGACTCACAGCCATGGTCACACAAGAACACATTTTTAATATTTATTTATTTATTTATTTATTTATTTATTTATTTATTTATTCCTTTTTTTTAGAGAGAGAAAGACAAAGACAGAGACACTCCCCCAATAAGGTCTTGATGCTGAAACTAAATTCCAGCCTCAGCCAATCCCAGACCATGGGCACACAAATGCTTGGCACTCAGAGAGGTCTGCAGATGCAAACCCAGTACCTTCTCCTGAAGATGAGCCTCACAGAGCACTGCATTCTATGTGTATGTGTGCTCCAAATCCAAAGCCAAAAAAGGACTGCAGTGTGGCCATCCCTCCACCTGCCCAGGGCCGGTCTTTACATTCACTGTGTCTCTCTTATTCAGTTTCTCTTTGGTGTGTGTATGTGCTTTATAGCAAAAAAAAAGAAAAAAGAAGACTGAAAAAATTTTAGAAATAAAAGGACTATATATAGGCCATTGTCAAAAGCTGCTTTCAATAATCTAGAGATTATTTTTTTCATGAAGAGATGAATCAAGAGACTCATTCTTTTGTTCAAGAGTTGTTTCATACAGTCAGCAAATACTTACCAAATACATAATATGTGTTAATGACATGACTGGTGTAGGAAAACATTTTTTTCATACTTGAGAACTTGATAACTGGAAAGTAACTATCTATGACAGTTTGTCTACACTTTCCATTTGTATTGGACGTACACAATATCATTTCTTTTCAGCAGAGTCTAAATAACTATTGGGTAAATAGAAGTGATACTTTATAGTATCTCAGGGAATCATAGCTATTTACAATTATAAGATCAAAGTTACTGTAAACATAGACTCATCCAGTAGGACTCAATTTTATTCGCTGGAGGGTACTGCCAATGGTGGGGAGAACTCCCCCACGACAGAGTGAGATCAATCCTAGTCCTGGCTTTTTGAAGAACATGTTGGGTACGTGTGTGTGCATGCCAACGATCCTGAGAAGAGACTGTAGAAGTTGAAATTGTGGTATGTCCATCACCCCAAAAGATGTTTTTTCATATCCACCCCTCACACTGCACTCTCTCTGGCTAGCATGCATTCCCTTAAGTGAAAAAAAAAAAATCACACTAAAAAATGTTCCTTTTATTTTCTTTTCATTTTATTTATTATCATCTTGATTATTTGATTCTAATTTGATGAGAGAAATGTGAAAGAGAGAGAGAGAGAGAGAAACCTGCCATCTCCGGGACTTGAACCAAGTTGGACATATGGGCATCCAGTGCCTTTTAACCACTACACCATTTGCCGGCTCTTAAATTGTACAAAATACTATTCAGTCTGGTTTGCATGTGTGTATTTAGTAAGTTTACAATTACAGTTTTTAAAAAATCTGTGTATGATAGTTTAAGTCATGTTTTATATGATGATAGACATTATAATTGTTTATAATTACAGTTTTAAAAAAATCTGTGAATAATAGTTTGTCATGTTTTATATGATGATAGACATTATAATATTCCATTTCTGAAATAATTTTGAATGAATGTCCTATTAACATAAAAGTTTACATGAATAAAACTTTTAAGAACAATTATTAGTAGTTTATTGTAAAAATTTTTAAAGATAATGTTTTAAGACTTCTAATACTTAGATATTAAAAAATTTAGATATAATAAACAAATCTATTGGGTTATTTCCAACAGCATACAAACATAATCTAGAAGCATCTATTTAAGATAAAAAAAGAAAAAGAAAACTTCCTGGAATCCTACATTCTTCATTTATCATCAAGTTTTCTCTTGCCTTTACCATTAGAAATTCTCCAGGGAGATTTCTACACTTACCTCACAGTTAGACTTTCCTGGAAACTACTGAAACTTCTCCTTATCAAGGACACTTGTTCTCATTTCTGTCAACTTTTCAATTAAATCGACAGTTGAATGTTCTCTTGTTTCGCCTGAAGACTATACTATTCATGTGTGTTTCTAGAAACTGTAACTATTACCAATTTTCTTCACAGGGAAACCAAGAAGTTCTAGATGTTTACCTGACTCTTTCTGGGTGTATTTCATGTGAACTGTTGACATTCCCGCAGGGTCGACCATCAGAAGGTGAATCTGCCTCCAAAACTCGTCGATCCCTATCATTTGTCCAGGCCCATTTCTCGTTTTTCTTCTTCTTTGTGCCCTTCACACTACTTGGAAAGAAATCCGTGAAAAAAAGGCTTTAGTTTCTAATAATTATACAGAACAACAACAAAAAAAAAAACACAAAATACCAAAAACAAATCACTAGTTTTTTAAACAATCCCAAATCTTCCCTATCTTAATTAATTTACTAATTTAAAAACAATTCCAACATGTCAACTACATCCAAAGAAGTGTATACTCTCCTCTCAGCTTCAAAATGAGGATAAATTGTACAAGTTGACACATGAGCTAATCTATGAAAAATTGTACCTAAGCACAAAGAAGGCTTTATATTAAAGAGGTAAAATATAGAAGAAGAGCTCTCTGGGAACCAGCAGTTAGTGTAATGGCTATGTCGGTGGACTCCCACGTAGTCGACCGCAGTTCGCATCCCGGACCCGGTGGCTTAAAACTCACGCCGGGCGCGTGTGCATGTGTGCCCAAGATCCCGAGAGGAGAATGGAGGAGAAGGGATTGTGGTGTGACCATCCCCTCTGGGGGGTGATTTCTTGCTTTCTGTCTCTATGTCTCTGTCTGTCTGGCGAGCGCACGGGCCCTATAGCGAAAACCTCTCAAAAAAAAAAAAAAAAAAAAGAGCTCTCAAGTCAAAAAGTGGGAAGTACCTTTCTACTTAGCAAACAAATTGTGAGCACAAAGATTAGACACAGTGCATGTAGGTGTTTCCATAAGAACTGGAAAAGAAAGCATAAAATGCAGGGAAGCTAGTACTGGAGATGAACACCACACTACAGGGCAATGTTGTTGTAGAATAAGGAACTCACGCCCTACTAGGATTGACTGTTAAGATTTCAAATGGGCTAGGAACCAGCAGTTAGCGTAATGGCTATGTCTCTGGACTCCCACGTAGTCGACCGCGGTTTGCGTCCCGGATCCGGTGGCTTAAAACTCATGCCAGGCGCGTGTGCATGCGTGCCCAAGATCCCGAGAGGAGAATGGAGGAGAACAGACTGCGGCGTGACCATCCTCCCGGGGGTGACTTCTCGCTTTCTGTCTCTATGTCTCTCTCTGTCTGGCAAGCGCACGTGCCCTATAGCGAAAATCTCTCCCAAAAAAAAAGATTTCAAATGGGCTAGACTGAGGTATATATGATGCTGGGTAAAGTCTCTTTACAATCTAAATGATGTATAGAGATTTAATGTATGAATAATAATAATTAAAAAAACTTTAGAAGTTAAAAAAAGAAAGAAGGTACATCTTTCGATGTAATAAAATTCATTTATGACAACACTGAGCTAACATCATACTGAATGGAGAATAGCTACATACTTTCTCAGTAAAATTTGAAACAAGACAAAGTCATCCACTTTTCCCACTCTTTTTCAACATAGAGTTGGAAGTCCTAGCCAATGCAAAAAGATAAGAGAGAAAGATAAAAAGCATTCAGATAGGAAAAAAGAAGTGAAATTCTCTCAATTTGCAGATGACATGATACATAGAAGATCCCATCCAAAAAAAGCATAGAAAATCTCCTAATTATATTAATTTAAATTAATGAATTATAGATGTTTCTTGACTTACAATGTCAGAGTTATTGTAAGTTTGAAATATCCTGAGTTTCAAATGCATGTGTTAACCCTTAAAAAAACAGGGCACAAGACTTAATAAAGAAAAAAGTTTATTTGGTCTGGTAATAATTGAAACCTGGGACATACAGCCTCAAACGGGTATTTGAATAAGTACCTCGAGGTCTTAGAGTTTTCAAATAGTCTTTTAAAGACAACAATCACAAGTGACAAGGGGATTGGTTTGTTAAGAATTTATATTGGAAAGAAGAAAGAAAAAAAACATTTAAGAGACGTGAAAATGGAAAATTATCTGCTGATGATAATATGTATGGTAATTTTTTTTTATTGAACCAATATATAGTATATTCAAGATGGGAAAATTCACTTGGTATACGGTAATGATACACAGTGTTGAATGTAAAGAATAAATACATAAAAATTTTTTAAAAAGACTTGACATTGGGACCAGCAGTTAGTATAATGACTATGTTGCTGGACTCCCACATAGTTGATCATGGTTCGAGTCCCAGACCCAGTGGCTTAAACTCAGGCTGGATGCGTATGTATGCATGCCCAAGATCCTGAGAGGAGAATGGAGGAGAAGGGACTGTGGCGTGGCCATCCCCCCCGGGGGGTGATTTCTAGCTTTCTGTCTCTCTGTCTCTCTCTGTCTCTCTGGTGAGTGCACGCACCCTATAGCAAAAACCTCTCAAAAAAAAAAAGATATGATAACTTTTGGTATTATCTACACATAGAATAATGTTTAATTTTAATAAAGTATTTTTAACATACTGTGAAAGACATATAATATGAAAGAAGAAACTAGGGACATACTGATGGTTGAGGGACCTTATTTTTTAAATATCCAGCTTTCATGTTATATAGTTCAAAATCTAACAATCTGGTTAGTTATGATGTTGAAAAACAAAATGACTAGAAAAGTTTTATGTTTAGCCTAGTACTAATTTCTAATATAAATATAGAATTGTCATTACTTTTTATGCAATAAACAGCGTATATAAGAGCTTCATATTTTCCTGTAGGGATATTTTTACTATAGGGGTGTGTATTAGCTAGAATGACAGAGAGAGATAGCGATAGAAAGTGAGAAATAACCCACCAGGAGGGTTGACCATTGTACAATCCCTTTTTGGACACACATGCTCAGTCTTTGGTGTGAATTGCAAGTGGCCAGTCTGGGACTTGAACCACAGTCGGCTATGTGCTCGTCCAATAACATAACCACCTGCATGTCCTAAGAACAACACTATTATATCCCTACATAAATTTGACAAGAGGACTGAAATTTCCCACTAGAAATTATTACATTAGGAGTTTAGTATAAGCCCATAAAAGGATAAAATGAAAATAAAAGGAAATCTAACAATTATCTATGAAATAAAAGTTCTATAAATAAATTAAGACTAAGCATCAAGAAAAAAGAAGAAATTATCCAGATCGAAATCATTACACAGTCCTTTTTTAGCTAAACTTTAAACTGCAAAAAAGATTACAATTTAAGAATACCAAAAAGCATTTCACTTTAAACATAATTGAGGGAAGGCAATACTTTTTCTTTCTTTTCTTTTCTTCTTTTTCTTCCTTTTTTTTTTTTTAGAGGTTTTTGCTATACAACACGTGCACTTGCCAGAAAGACACAGAGAGACAGAGAGACAGAAAGCAAGAAATCAATCCCCAGGGGGGATGGCCACACCGCTATCCCTTCTCCTCCATTCTCCCCTCGGGATCTTGGGCAAGCACGCACATGTACCTGGCGTGAGTTTTAAGCCACTGGGTCTGGGACTCAAACCGCTGTCAATTACATAGAAGTCCAGTGACAGCCATTATTCCATCTGCTGGTCCCTTTTTTAAATTTTAATTAGCTATTGGGTGCTGGTGCTTGGATGAGGAGAGAGAAGCAAGAAAAAAAAAGAGAGAGAGACAGAGACAGAGACAGAGACAGAGAGAAGTGCCGAAGGAATGGCTATGCTGCAACCCCTTCTCCTCGATTTTGGTCTCAGGATCATGGGCTCCCACACACATGCCCAGTGTGTTTCTCTAGCTGTGAGTTCTGAAACTTGAACCACGCCATTGACTCTGTGGGATGAACCCACCCTAACTACTATACCACCAGCTGGCCCAAAGACAACATCTAAACAGAAGACATCTGGTCAAAGTCATCTCAAGGTTAGGAATGAACTGACCCATAGCCACAGAAAGAATTTTAAATTTGTATTCACTTATTCATTTTTTAGAGAGAAAGACAAAGACAGAGAGACAGTACCTTTAATAAGGTCCTGATGCTGAAACTGAATTTTAGCCTCAGCCAGTCCCAGACCATGGGCAAGCAAATGCCTGGCACTCAGAGAGGTCTCTAGATACAAACCCAGCACCTTCTCCTGAGGATGTTCCTCACAGAACACTGCATTGTACTGCTGTGCCACCATCCTAGCCCTGCCCCAGTTTTACATGTACTCGGTCAGTGACCACTAGCCTTACTTATTAGTCCTCCATGTCAGCCACTTGCTTTGGAAAGACAGTCTATCCGAGACAAACTCACTCTGATAAACACACATCCCAGTGTCAACCAATGGGCAACACTCACTGAATAACCAGGCCACCACTGGGGATGTCAACCCCCTCGTGGCCCTGGAGGGTTGCTGGTCCTGAATCTCAACTCTTTCCAGAACTCTATATAACATCAGCTCACTGCTCAGTTAGAAGAGACTGTGCCTGACCAGCCAAGCACAGGTTACCATGAGAGAAAGCAATACATTCTGATGCTGTTTATTTATTTCCATTATGGAAAAGCTCATAATCCTTTCACATCAACTTTTTCAGTCCATTAATGTACTACGCCCTTATTTTTCTTACTAATATACCAATGAAATTTATGCTTTCTCTGATACATTTCACCATAAGTACCAATGGAAAAAACATAGCAAGTAGCAAATTCTTAATATAGACAATATAACCTATTACAAAGAGCCAAGAGGCCAGCAGATGGTGTGGAGGTGAGAGTGCTGGACCCCAAATGGTCTATTTCAGTTTGAGTCCCAGACCTGGTGATTTGAAAATAATGCCAGGGACATGTATGTGTTTATGTGACCCAAATCCAAAGTCAATAAAGGATTGTAGTGTGGCCACCCGTCTAACTGCCCTGGGCTGGTCCTCACATTCACTTTATTGCTCTTGTTCAGTTTCTCTCTGGTGAGTACATGTGCTTTATAGTGAAAAAAAAAAA